GCATTTTCATGAAACACACACACACACACACACACACACGAGATATCCTGGCTTCACTCAGCTTCGTACATTATAAGGCTATTATATCTCATCAAGAAAATAGTGAACGGTCGTATTTTCTGAAACAAAAATGAGCCGAGTCCCGAAAATTGAATAGTCAGGTATGCAAGCAGCATGTACAAAAAATTGTATTCTCGTTAAGTTCTAACAGCTAGTAGAACGCTATCAACGTCCCACTCGTAGAGCACATGTGTATGCGTGCATACGCACAATATTCGTGGACGCGATGCGGATATCTAATCTCTACGTATACTTTCGGCTGCCATCTTGTATCTCAGCCGTCGCTCGCAGTTGGCCGCTGCTGCGCGTGCTGTGAATTTTCGAGAACGCAACTTCCATACGATGACGTCTATGCAAAGCCATGCCCGTAGAATATATTGGCAGTTTTTCCATTTGATCAAGCCTTTTGATTGTTCGCGTGGGCTAAGCCTATATTTAGAGGTAGACAATTTATTCATTTCGTAAAATAGTCCATTTCGTGAAATAAAAGTAGTCCAAATTTATATATGCTCATTTTTTATCAACTAAAAGTTCACCTTCCAATTAATATTTCAATGTAACGAATGTAATAATTATAATTGAATATACGATAAAATAGGCCACATTTCGAGAATAAATTATCTTACTCATTTTTAATTTGAATTCAAAATTATGTGAATTCGGCATGTATATAACGAATCCTATAAAAAAACTAAATAACAATAATTTTTTAAGGTCTAAAATTAATAAGATGTTTGTCTTTGCTGGAGCTTCCGTACTTTCGTTTTTTTCGTTAATTCGTTCATCGGCAAAACGACTCGCATAATTTTAAACAGCAATATGGGTAGTTCAAGTTGGGAGCTTTAACTTGTTACCTTGCACGTCCAAAAATAAGGATTTTCGACTGAGATTACACTGATCAAGATTCATCATAAAAATCTCGTATTGGAGGGCTTTGCATAATTCATATTTTTCTTCTATTTTTTAACTCATTTATTATTGATTATTGTTCGTGCAGTATATCGAGTTGCAGTGTATCAAAAGCTCTTAACTTTTGTTATTCGTGTCACTTTTTGAAAATGTTTTAAATAGGTGCCAGCTGATACTGTGAATAAAAGCAATCAGCCTGAATTTGCGTGATTTCCCAATTCTCAATGATGTGAAAATACAGAAATAAAATAGTTTCAGTGCTCTTTTTGTAATGTTCACAAGTTAGTTTTAGAGTAATAAGAAGGCAAAAACAGTCGGGAAGGTCCAGTTTTAGTAGATTTCGTCATACGCGCTTTCATAAAGCCGAGCAGTATTTCAATAAAGCCTCGACTATACTGCCTGAAAGAAGTCGAAAAGTCAATGTGAGAATGCAGGAACAGTCGAGGCGTAAAGCGAGTTTGGTTGTCTATGTTCGAAAAGTGCGCATGAACATTTTCGCAACGCTCTCTTCACTGAAGACAAGCGCACACAAGGTTTCTTTTGTCGCGCAGCTCAACTCGAATTTCTAACGGTTCAACAGACTCGCACTCGTGCTCTCAAACTGATAATCGTGTCGCGTGCGTGCATCTGCCGTGTCTTTTACGCAATGCCCCTTTTGCCTCTTTCTCCTTGATTTTCTACTTGACAGCCATTTTGTCGAAAGAGAGCTTCGTTTCGATAGACAGCCTGTTTAGAGTGCATTGCAACGATGGCTACTTTCCACTGCGCGCGGAGCTCGAATTTTATAAGCCGTTCTCGCGACGATGATTTCTGGGAAAAGGATGCTATCGAGCAGACAATACCGTATTATCGTCGTGGGGCTTGCGAGCATTATGCGCGATGAAATGCTCCTCGTGACGGAGGAAACAAGCAGGAGAACTGGCGGAATGCCGAGCGAAAAGTTTAGCTGCTCGAGTGGCGAAGGAGCCGCGCCAGATGCATAAAATCTGGGCAACGTGCAAATGGCAATCGGCGCAGCGATTAGCGGCCTTTTAAATTTCAAATCGCAGCGGCGCGGAGAGCGGCCGCGGCGGCGACTGCATGAAATTGTCTCCTATTAAAAGTGTCATGGTCGCCAGCGGAGCCGTTCGCTCGCTCGCGAGCGCAAGCCTCTCCTCTCTCTCTCTCTCTCTCTCTCTCTCTCTCTCTCTCTCTCTCTCTCTCTCGCTACGATGCCTTTAAAAACCGCGAGTGTGCGCGAACAATGCGCCTGCGCAACGCAAATGCTTTCGTTTTCAACGCGCTCAATGGCTCGCTTGTTTACGAAACCAGCCGCTCTCACACGCGCGCGCGTGCGCCACAACGACAAAAATGAAACAAGCCAAACAAATCGGCGCCGAGTGCGTGGGTGCGCCCGCGGACATTTATCGGCGATGTTGTTTAGTAACGCGCTGCGATTGTTTAAGCGTCAAATTCTATGCGCGCCCGGTTGAAACTCCATCGTGATTTTCGAACAAGTGCTTTCTAACGAGGATCTATACTCGATGATTTTTCTCTAGCATCGCGCCAGAGACACAGAGAAAAGAGTAATTAAATAAATCACCAAGAGGTGCAGTTATAATCATGGACTTAGAATTATTCACTTATGATGCGTATTTTGCAATGTACAATTTCAGACCTTGACGAATGTGAAATACGAACCTATATTTTAGTGAGAATAGCGTATTAAAAAAGAAAAAAGTTGTGGTTGCGGCAGCAAGCAGCAGCACACTTGTGCGTTTGTACATGCACTCTCGCAGTTGAAACTCAAGCAATATTAGCACTCGTTAACGGATATTCGCATCTCATCGTTCAATTACATTTCCGTGCGCTCGCGCGCAAAAAAAAAAAAAAAAACAACGGGCCATAAATTGACGTTGTCGTGCAATCGGCAGTTTACAAATTGTTCGTTGTCGAGGTTGCGCGTCGCTGTGAATTTAAAACGCACGAGGAAATTCATTATCGCAAAGACGCCCGAAAGAAAATAGCTAAAGTAGCGCTTGGCTACATGTCGTCCTGAATGCGAGCGGGGAGGGGGGATGGGCAATTAATCGAAATGCCAGCTCGGCAAGTTCAATTTCAAGTTGGCGCGCGATCCGATAAGAAGAAGCCGATAAACGAAAGGACTGGCGCTGCCGCCGCAGTAGCTGCGATAACGCACGCGCACACTAATAATGCACTCGCGAATGACGAGAGCACGATAATGCTTTGGCGTGTGTGCGTGTGCGAGTCATTACGCAAACCCACACGGCAGGCGCGCGTGATGCATCTCCGCGAACCTTATTTCGGCTGTGCGCTCGGGAGTCGCGCGTCGTTCCGTTGTGCTCGCGTCTTTTTCGTCCTTTTCCTCGGTGCGTGCACGCGTGCAACTCGTGTGACCGTCAAACGCACATCGCGAGGTTGAAGGTTGCTCTGCTTTTTGCATGACCGCGCATGCTCATTTTTTCGTTCTATGCACCACTTTTTACTATTATCGTTAGCGGTCGCTTCGCGCGCTTATCGCCCGAACCGCGCCAATTTTTGTAATCTTTCAGTAAATTTACTTTTCCGTTATCGAGTCTTCAGTGAAATAAAATAATCTTAAACTCATCTGGAAATGCAGTGCTAATGCTAATTTTCAATAAAACCGATAGAAAACAGTAGCGAATGGTTTGCTTGTCCTTTTTGGAAAAACTAAAATTCACTTCCCTTAGTAAGAGCACGAACTGACGTGTTGCCTTGTCATTGATACATTATTTAAGAAAGGTACCTTCAACATTGAATTGCTTTTAACGTGTTTGAGAATGTATTATCATAATTATTGATATATAATTACTGCTGCTAACACGTCGTGATTATGCGCGAGGAAAAAAATTCGCTGCTGGCCTGAATTTCAACGGTCTTACATAAGCGTGAGACTCGTTTGAAGCGCTAGAACTTTATGCCGATGTCTTAGCAATCTCAGACATTATCTGGTGCTAAGCAGATTCTCGAATTAGATGACACTCTCGAAGAATATTACTCTGATATAAGTCTCGCTGATTAGTCTTATCCACTTTTTACACTCTTCGTAACAAACAATATTGTTACTGACAAACTTGTAGACACTTCCGACGATCAAATAATAATTTTCTCAAATGTCATTCGAACCAATCCAATTATATTTCAGTTCGTAAACAAAGCCAATCAAGTCATAAGCTGACAGCTCGGCAACGTCATGGCAGGCGCCTAGAAACATGTCGCTGTCGCTGCGTTCGAGCGGTAAAAACCGGTGGTCTGTATCGCGCCTTCGAATAATTGTAGACAATTTGAAAAGTCGTCCTCGAGGTTGCAACAAATTTCGGCGTAGACAAAATAACACGGCCGGAGCAGCGCCGAACGCTGACTCACGCGCGACACACGATCGTAAAACAGCTCGGCGCGTCTGTTTGAGAATCGATAGGCAGAGCGCCGGATTTGGACCGAAATTAAAAAGCCGCTGCAGGCACGTAGACGCAGCACTTTATAAATGCCAAGGCCCTCGAGCGAGCAGCAGCCCCGGCGAACGGCGCAAACAAAAGAAACGATCGGAGACTATCGGCGGCAGGCAGTCGAAAACCACGGCGCGCTCGGGCCGGGCAGGGTAGGGCAGGGCAGGGCAGGGCAGGGCGCGCCGGCTCGGTTCCGTCTTGGCGAGAACCGCATCCCCGAGGCGCGCGCGTGTAGGTGCGCGCGGCTGCACTTGCACTTGCACGCTTCCCTCGAAGTCGAGCCGGCTGCAGCGGCGCTCCCTTTCCCCTCTCGCGAGCGCGCGCGCGCGCGCGTACGAATGCATGCACGTCGTCGTCGCCGCCGCCGCCGACGCCGCCGCCGCGCCGCGGCGGGGTGGTGTTGTGCGCTCGGGACGGCGAGCGCACAGACAGCGCGCGAGCGGACTGGAGGGGAGGGTGGGAGAGTCTAGCAACGGCGGCGGCTTTCGGCGGCTACGACGGCGGCGCTGCTGTGGCGCGCGCGGCGTTCAGTCGCCGACGCGGATGCAGTTACGGGAGCGCAGCGCGAGCTAACGCAACGCCGTCGTCGTTGTCGCCCCCAAAACAGGCAGCGACGCACGCAGAGACACACACACACCGTCGCCAACTCACCACTCGAGCTCGAGCGAAAAACGAAAAGCAGACGACCCCTCGGCCCCCCGACTTGTCCACCCTCGACGTGCGCAGCTTGCTTCCTCCCGCAATCAGTGTCACTCGGCAGCAGCCAATTGTTCCGATTGTTTATTGTGCGCGGTGGCTATTTGCAAGGATTTGCTCGTCAACAACAATCATCCTGTGCGTGTGCCGTGTGTGTGTGTGCGCGCGTGATATGTATATGTATATCGTAAGAGAGCGGCAACGGAACCAAACGTTCGACGGCCAATTAGTGCGACTGTAATCAGTCAAGAGTGTGATTGTAGCGGGCAGCGCAAGTGCGAGTGCGAACACGAAAGAGAGTCCGAGAGTAAAGCTGTGATAAGTAGAGATATTGCGAGAACAAGTGCGCGTCCAAGAGAGAGAAAGAGAGAGAAAGAGAGAGAGAGAGAGAGAGAGAGAGCGAAAGCGAGCCGATTGGTGTTCAGTGCAGAGTGTTACCGAGGTGCGACCGAAGGACAGCGCGAGCCTTCGACTTGGCGCCGGGCAGGCTTCAACTCCGTCGTCAAGTTCTGCGTGGAGCGACGGCTAGATCATCAAGTGAGTAGCCCAGCCCAATTTATTTTCTCTACTTATCCTCGTTTCGTCATGCATTTGAGATGGAAATTGAACATAAGCCTTTGCCTACTGCAGCGAGCGAAGGGGAGGGGGATCGAGTTACCGCCGAAATAAGCGCGACGATGTTTGATAACACGGTCCCTCGGTCGGAATTCCTCGGTCCGCGATTGAATGTGCCTACATCAGCGAGCGGTTTCACCGATAAAAAAACCGACGGCTGACCGCCTTGGGTTTCACATTTTCGGCAAATGACGAGCTTCTCGGCTCGGTTTGCGCGTCCGCGAGTGTTTTTCGAGCAGCGATCGAGCGCAGCGAGCGAGCGAGCGCGTGCGTCAAGGACAGCCGAGTGTCAAATCCACGGGGAAAAAGCTTGAGCTTCGCGCCAGCAATCGAATATGTGCGCGCTCGCGTGTCGGAAAAGCTGAGAAATTTTCCGCCGGTTCGCCGTCGACGAGAGCGAGAGAGACCACGTGGCGGAAACCTGTCGCATTCGATGCCGTCTCTCTCGTTCGCGCGCGCGCGCTCTCTCTCTCTCTCTCTCTCTCTCTCTCTCTCTCTCTCGCTCGCTCGCTCGCTCGCTCGCTCGCTCTCTGGATCTGTGCCAGGAGGAGCGTCCCGACGCCGGTAAACTCCGTGCACATATGTGTAGCGTGAAATGGAGAAAGATAGCTTCCGATAATAAAGTGTAATACACAACTACCCGTTGCCACAACGACTGCGTTTTTCTTCTCTTTCGTCGCTTGCGGCTCTCGTTTACGTTCAACCTTTACTTTATGAAGATATCGGCGCTCGATTAGTTAACGCCTTGGGGGGGACGTAGCTGTGTACATTTCGCTCGATGACAACCGGATGTTGCAGGCATGTAATTACACGACGTGCGTTGCTGCAGAGGCAAAACCGATTGCAAAGATTACTTCTTTTACGCACGCCGACTTCTTTTTTCCTTTTCTAACCAGTCAAGTTCAAGTTTTATTGCTGCTTATGCGATGCGCTTTGCCAAGAGTTGCGCGCTTGATAATGGTTTCATGTCTATTGCAATTGCAATTGGTACAAAATCGTTCGAGCACTTTGGAATGTCTCAAAAAAAGATGCTTGACTTGGTGTTGTACGTGTTCGTTTTCCACGAAAGTAACCTCAAAACCTAAAATCCAAATCTGTCCGAAGGCATTTTTCTAGTAGTCGCGCTTGCTTGGCTTTCGACAGATATCCGCGAAAGCTACTCGCAGAGAATGGAGGTTACCAAAAATAAAGTTTACAGGCTATACCTTATATTGACCAAAATTTTGTTGCTTTTTTTAGTTACCTACACTGCAACGAAAAATCCTCAAATGAAGACAGATTTTTTCTTAAATTAAGTATCCGGCGAATTTAAGCAGTCGTTCGTCTCCAATCGGAGGACTCCGGAAACGTTCTTACAATAAGGATTTATTATCAACTTATTTTCAGTATTTCAAATCACAAAAAGATAAGGGATGTTATATAATAAAATACATTTGTTTGCTTAGTGATGTAAAATATTTAACTGTAGATGATATCAAATTCTGCGATCTGTGTAGTTTTTCTTTGAAATCCTATAATTTACATAAGATTTATTTTGAATTTATTACAAATTATTTTGCAGTTTAGCAATTCAATCTTTTAGATTTACTTTGATTTCTCCGTCACATCACTGTCATTGAACTGTCAAGCAGAAAACGCGAGATGGAAAGAATTTCGTTTTTTATTACGTGACATTATAACATATCGCCAATTTTTCAGTAAAATATTAACAAACTGAAGTAATTTGAAGAATGCAAAAATTTTTATTTTAAGAATAACATTTCTCAAACTAATAATAAGGTTTTATTATTTTGAGAGCATTGTTCTTATACAATGTTCTTATTTGTTAAATTTAAGAAAATTACGATAATTACTGCTCCTAAAGTAAGACAAATTTCAAATTTTTATTTGAAATGCCGTACTTCAATATTTTTGTGATTGACGGTATGAAAAATTGACTTCGACTGAGCTCGTAATGGGGCAAATAAAAAATGGACACATAATTACGAATAAAAGATTGGTGAATGCCAAACTCAATAAATTGAAGGATACATTAAAATAACAAGGACCTTTATATACCTGTGCTTTCTTTTGGAAGTCTGGTAATTTGACAGACGCATGGATAATGTCGAATCTTTTTGACTCTTAATCGAATCAAAATTATCGAGCCAGTCAACAGTTTTAATTGGATTAAGATTTAAAAGTTCGATAGTGCCAGAATCTAATAAATTTGAGAACGCGGTGGATGAATAAATTTATCGCCATTAGTAATGTGTAGAGTTGTGCGATTGCATGAGCAAAGAAGCCGAGCAACAAAAAATCTGAGTACGAACAATATAATTCGCTCGCAATCTCCTTGCAGCAGTAACCAAGAAGGTCAGCGCGATTCGTCCGAAAACATTGGCCCCGGCCAATAATCATACGACGCGAGAGCGCATTGACGCGCTGCAGCTGCACAAGGCCGTTTACTCCTCTCTCTCTCTCTCTCTCTCTCTCTCTCTCTCTCTCTCTTACGCTCGTTTTAACCGACGCCGAAAATTGCAATTGATGGAAATTCCGAGGTTGTCTCCGCTGTATTCTGCCTTACGCGCCCACCCAAGCTCAACTATTACGCTTCCACTTGGCGCGTTGGCCGTCGGCGTATCCCAAGATAAAAATTGCAAACACCGATTATCCATTGGAATATAGTGTTTGAAAATTCGTTATTGCGTAATGCCAGTTTATCGCGCGTCAATGCGATTCCTTGGGCGCGAAAAAGAAAAAGAAAAAAAGAGCCGCGGGAACGTTATTGAAAAGCATAATTAACCTCATTCGATATCCAATTTCCTTGTTGAACAGGCGCTCGTAAAGTAAGTTCGAAGGCCCGCGCGCAAATTCTGGGAAAACGAGAAAAGGACAAGAAAGAACGTGGAAAAAGGCCAATCTGAGAGCCTGCGTGTGAGGGAGAGAGGGGGCGGGAGGGAGGGAGGGAGAGAGGCGGATGATAAAAGTGAGAAAATTCCCGTCGGCGGCGCATGACAATTGCGCGTCTCGTGTACGGACGACACTTTGCAATTTCCGTTAGGAAGAAGAAAAGATTGGCGAGTGTCCTTGACCCGTCGCCGTGTACTCTGCTCGGCGTCTTCGCTGTGGTGCAGCTGCGTGAGAATGAAAACGGAAAGTGCGTGCATGCGAGAATAGCCGGATATAGAGAACTATATTGAAAAGGTAGCACGCACATAGGCGAATTACGTAAAACGACGAGGCATCAGCTAGCTCTCTTATCTCGGAGAAAAATACTTTTTTTTTCTCTTTGGCCTTTTTCTTTTATCCAGGTATCAAACAAGTTTTATCGGGCGTATTTCTGCGCGAAAACCGCGCGAGTGCATCGGGAGATAGCTGATAAGCCGACGCTTATATTCGGGATTTTTCGAAAGCATCAGCGTGCTTGCTGCGCTGAATGTTTGTGCGCGCGCGCGTGTAAGTGTATTTTTCCCGTTGCACTTTTCCGAAGCTTTCGCCGAATTGATTGCCGTGCCATTTTGATAAGGCTTTTTATTGATTAAGTTCGTTTTTTTCCACCATTTCCTTGAGGCTCATTGTGCAAGTTATCGCAATTATTTTTTTGCAAAGTACGTCTCCTTCTCATCAATTCTAATTGTCTTAGCGGTGGATCGTTTGAAGGAATCACTTTGTTACCGATTTCAATTGGGTTTTAATTGCTTAACTACTTGTTGGCTGTATGAGCCGATTAATGCCGCATAGAAAACAAACGAGTTTTGTTGCATAGAGATCATCGTAGACAAATCATTATCTTAGTACTACGCTGCTGCCATCTAAAGTTTCTTCGTAGCAACTATGCCACTTGAGCTTTTATATTGCACTCTATAGATTCAATATTTATTTTTATTCAAAATTTTACACCAAGCATGTACTGGTTTAAATTTTAAAGAAGAGTTTTTATATAATTTCGACATTTGAAAACACATATTGGTTTGTTAACGCATAATTTATTTTGTTTAAATAATTTCAAGCGTCCACCACGGTTTATTTAAATGAATTTATTTATTACACGCTTATTCGATACTATTCTGAAGTATAGCATTAATTCGCTCATGTAGCACGTCCGAGTCTAGATGCCTGACTAATGAGGATGAATAACTACTTAAAATTAAGATTTTGGAATACATCTTTATCACAGTAATAATCTGGGTAAACTAAAGCCAACAATAATTTAACAATCATTCAATTCTCTTTGAAATCATTACAAGCGGTACAATACTCAAATTATCGACATAGAAATGACGAAAATTCGTTTACCATAAGGTACATTTGATAAAGGGAATGCAGCAAAAGCGGTGAACTCGTCAGCGAGGAAGAGAGCAACAAGAATAAAATCAAGAACAGAGAAAAAGTGAGGAAACGAGGCATTAAAGGCGAAATAATAGCAAAAGCAAGAGAGCGGCGACGGCGCATCTTTGCAATTACTTAAGAGGGTCATGTGCAGCAGCAGCAGCAGCAGCAGCAGTAGCAGCTCGCGTGCGCGGCGACTGGCTTTTTATGCGCAGAAGAAGGAACGACTCGCACAGCTTCCGATACCTCCAAGAAAAGGAGGCGAGGATGGACACACACACACACACATGTGCGTGCGTGTCGCCTTAGAAAGCTAAATTCGCGGACGTTCGCATTCAGTAGGTTAAAGTAGAAAATTCGGTTTGACCTCGATTTAGGCCGTTGCTGCCAGCTTGCCTGTGTGCGTCAAATCGTATCGTAAATTTTGCGAAACTTTCTTGATGCGCACTTGGCTTCCTTTTTTCCTCGAGGTCGAGAGTAGCAGCCGCTTGGATCGTCTTCTTACTTGTCGGTCAAGCGACCGATAGACCGAGAGAAATTATAAGATTGCGGCGTTGTTTCATTCGCTCTGTAAACCTTTCTAATCAGATTTTTGCAGTTTCACTCGAAGC